CTAAACTGAGCGAAGCTTCATCAAAATACGATACCTTTTGTGCATTGAACGTGACTCTCTGAATATTTTTATTTATTTTTAATACATTAACTATAAGCTCTATTGTTCTGTCTGAAATAACTCCGAGCATATCTACCTTATTTAATTTCTCATTTTCTTCCAACGCATCACTTACAGATTCAATTTTGTTGTCTTTCAATGGACCATTAAATATTATCTCGTCTAATCTACTGTTCACTTTTAAATTTTCTGTAAATATTTTTGTTGATTCCTTATTATTCACAGTAGAAGTTTCAAACGTTACTTCTGTAACATTGTCGTATCATTTCTCAAGAACACTAGAAAATGATCATTTCATGTGACATCAATGATCGTTTAACGTACAAGCACAAATTTATCTCTGTAATTCATCTCAACAATTTATCTCAGTATCTCAGTAATTCTATATTCATTTATTTCAATTCATCAATATCCTCTTTCCTAATACTAATTTGTTTTTCGACAATTTCGTCTGGTGGAGACTTTTCCTTTAGCGAAGCCGCTGCAGATGAAGAAAAAAGCTTACTTTTCGACTGGAGTCCGATAATGAAAAGAAAATCAAATAATTTTGTCATTAAAGGAAGCAAAATTTCCTTCGTTTTTGTTACCATTGTCATTGTTTTCGTTCCTGTTGCTTTTTGGCTATTATCACTTGTATCACTATCATCTGGTGAATATCCAATGAGCGTATCGTTTGAATAAGCTTTTATTCTTAATGGCAATAATCGATTGCCTTTGTCGTCCATTTCATATTGAATTGGATTATCATCAGCCGATAACAGAACAGTTATTTTCGGAAAAATATCATGTACATCTTGTAACAAAACAAATTCTTGATTATCAATCACGCTAATTGAAATATTTTTTGTTCGACCTTTATATTGAACTCGTTGATACGTCATAATCTAAATAACGAAAGAGAGATCATGGGAATCCATTCATTTATTTTCAATAATTTAATTTTTTCATGCACAATGTTCAACAAAAAATCTCAAGGGAACACGCAATCATCCACCACTTAGATCGAACTGATTTCTCATGTAAATGATAAAAAACTTGTATTTCTATAGATATAGTATTAACGATGAGAATAAATCATTCCATATCCTCTGTTTTCATCCTACATTTTTTCTTTCTCTTATGTCTGTAGCTGTATGTATTGTTTTTCTTTCATTATCTTATTACGTATGGCGTATGAAGTAATGTTTCTTTAACTATATTTTTTCTTTCTCTGAAAGTATTTATAGCACATACTGACTTTATTAGAACACTAGCCATAGAACAGACATAGAAATCGTTTGTCCAGTTTCCAAAATAGCTTCTTACTTTCTGTTACAAGCTGTTAATATGTCAGCTGAAATAGAAAATATTTTGAAATTTTATTATTTTCATTTAATTTATATGAAAAAAAGGTTGCTGCTTCCAGGTCAAAGTACCTTTCAGAAATGTGGCAAATGTATTGATGCACACTCTCAATTGATACAAAGAAAAAGAAAATCACTTTTTCTAATAAATTTGTCCTTCAGCACATAGCAATTTCTATAGTTTAATGGAGCGACCGAAAAACTCAATAATATTTTTAGAAGAAAAATAACGAACGAGGGGAAAATGATGTGAATAGAAAAAGTTTCTTTTCTTTAGTATAAGCTTTATTTGTAAAAAAGAAACGAAGAAAAAGAAAAGAATTTCCATCGAATAAGTATAGAACAGCAAAAAGAAAGAGTAATAAACCCATCACATTATTTCGACTGTTCAACGAGCGAAAATTGCTAGTATAAATAGTAAGTAAGAAAGACACATGTAACAAAGGTAGTGAGAGTGTTTTCTTTATAATAGCCTTTTAATTTAACATACTGTCTTTCGCTACCTGTTACCTGAGGTGGAACATATGTGATTAAAACAATATTTACTTCATATTTTGCAAGGTAGTAATGGGCTGAAAGAAGTAATAGTCGAAATAATTTCGCTTTCTATATTCGTGGTCTCATATTATATATATATAGGTCACGGATGAATATATACGAAAGAACACAAAAAAAGTTCGAAAGAAACGAAAGAAAACAAAATTTTTCACAATTTTTAAGAAACAACAAACATCTCGGTTAAGATACATGACCATGAAGAAATAGTCATTAAAACTCCAATATTTCTCGTTATCTGATTGGTTTAATCCGTCATTTCTTTGTCGAAGTTTATTGTCCGTGATGTTATGTTAAGCACCAGTTACGCAGTAACCTTAACTATGATTTTCTCCCTTATGGCACGACTCTGCGCGGCGAATAGAAAACTGTAAGGAAAACCGTTGTTGTGAAAAAAATTGTTTATTGAAAAAAGAAGAAGAGTGATCAAAAGCTAATCTGTGTCTTTACTTGTTCAATTCAGATCAAAAACTGACTAGTTTTGCTTTTTTCTTTTCGTGGTTCTTTTTTGTTGCTGAGGAGATCTATACTACTAGCCGAAAGGCAAATAGCAAATTATACTGAGAACAAGTTAATTATACAGTTAATTATACTCTACTCAGAACTCTTCCAGCCAGGAAGATCGACGCCCTCGTCAGCATTTCTAGTGTCTGTTATGTTTGTCGTTTGTGTTAGTTGAATCTTTTCCAAAGTTCTTTTGAATCACTGTTGGATTGTAATATGAATGGTTTCAGACGATCACCATGAACTGAGTCTAACTTAATGACACCAAACGGATCTATCAATTGATATGTGTTGAACGGACATATCTTGTTTATCTGATATGGTCCTAGGTTTTTAACTTGAAATTTATGATGAATTTCATTTCTTAATAACACCCAATCATTTAATTTTAATGGCCTTATTTTTATTCGAGTATTATATTGTTGTTTCATTTGATATACTGAATTATTACATCTTACCTGAGCTGCTGAATGTCGATCACCTAATTCTTCTAATTGTATAGCGCGATATTCATTTAAATCATTATTATTATTTTCATCATAAACATATGGTTGATGTGTATCTCCAGGTATTGTTGGTTCTTTACCATACACAAGATAGAATGGTGTTTCTCTTTTTTAATTGAATGTGTACGAACTCGACATGCAAATAATGCTTGTTGAATATAAACATCCCCATTTGTGTCCCACCTTTAACGTATTTTGTAAACATGGATATAAACATACCATTAAAACGTTCGATGTATGTAAATGATGTCTTTGTTGTAATTCTAAATATTTTTTCAGTGTGTTTGACACAAATGCTTTTCCACGATCGCTAATTACTGATATAGGGCAACCAAATGTTATTAATATTTCATCATAAATAAATTTAACTACATTTTCGGATGTTGCTTCAGCAAGAGCTTTAGCCATTTTGTGGCATGATCTATAGTTAACATTATCCATTTATTTCCATTTGTTGTTACAGATAATCGACCAATAAAATCTATTCCCCATGTTTCAAACGGACGACTTGCTGGTAGTGGCTCTAATGGCTCATGTGGTTGATGATCTAAACGATAGTTTTGGCAATCAGGACATTCTGTTACTGCTTTTTTCACATCTTCATTCAATTTCGGCCATCATACTCGATATCTAAAATAGTCACATAAACTACTAACACCTAAATGTCCATAACTCTCATGTAAATTTTTTAATGTATCGTATCTAATTCTGGTGGTACATATTGTACTTGTTTATCATCATTCAAACGATATAAATAATCATCTTTAATTATAAAATTTTTGATTCATTTATAATTTTATTTTCTTGTTTATTAGTTATTTGTTCATTAATATATTTATCACTCAAATATGTAGCTACATGCGATGGCCAATCTAATTCAAAATCTAGTACATCTGTTAAACAATAAGGCTGGTCCTTTCATCTTCTGAATCTTTATCATTATTATTTTGTTGATGTTTAATACGTGATACGGAATCAGTTGCTTTATTTGTTGTTCCTGGTGTATATTTTATTTCAAATGAATATTGTTGTAATTCTTCAATGCATCTAATACGTCGTCGGGTTAAATGTTTTTGTGTTTTTAGGAAATGCACATTCTTATTCAGGTTCCCATTTAACATCAACATTAGCTTTTAATAATCTAGTCAGTGGTTCGGCGAGTGACGAAAAGTTGACCATAAAACGACGATAGTATGAACATAGACCAAGAAATGATCGCAGTTCATCGACATTCGTTAATGCTGGCCATTCATCAGTTATTTTGGTTTTAGCTGGGTCAATACTAATACCAGTAGCCGATACCACATAACCTAAAAAAGAAATAGAAGGTTTATTAAATTCACATTTCGAAATTTTGGCTATTCATTTATTTTCCTTCAATAATTCTAGCACTTGTTCTAAATGCTGTTGATGTTCTTCTTCTGCTTTACCTGTTGTTTTTTGGCTATTATCACTTGTATCACTATCATCTGGTGAATATCCAATGAGCGTATCGTTTGAATAAGCTTTTATTCTTAATGGCAATAATCGATTGCCTTTGTCGTCCATTTCATATTGAATTGGATTATCATCAGCCGATAACAGAACAGTTATTTTCGGAAAAATATCATGTACATCTTGTAACAAAACAAATTCTTGATTATCAATCACGCTAATTGAAATATTTTTTGTTCGACCTTTATATTGAACTCGTTGATACGTCATAATCTAAACAACGAAAGAGAGATCATGGGAATCCATTCATTTATTTTCAATAATTTAATTTTTGACTTATTCAGAATTGAATTTTGGCCTAATTAGAGTTTTTTTTCAGTCACCCATATCTGAGATGGAGCAGTCACACTGGCGAGTATGGCACTTTTGGCTTAAAGTCGCGTTTCTACCTTAAGATAAAAGCTTTTCAAAATTATTTTTTTACCAACAGTTAGCTCGCGCTTATTCATTAATGTAGTTTTCATATTTTGTCGGTGCTTATGCAGCGTAAAAAAGGGTTTTATGAACTGTACGCAAAAATTTTTGCCGATCCGAAAACGTTTACGTTCCGGTCTAGTGATGATAGCAACAGTAATACTATGCTGGTAGTAAGAATATTCATAAAATTAGTATTACTTACAAGAAAAAGTTTTTTCAAAAGAATATTCAAAAGATTTCCTAACGTGTTCTTCCAAAAAACTTTGAACACTCAGACGAACATTTTCTCTTTTTTCCTGCCGAAATATTTACTATCCTTTTCAAAGTATGAGGTCTGTGGTTGTTTGTTGAGTAACTCGAGAATGAAAAGAGCTAGAGCATTAGGGTTTTTTCATTCAAGAGACGAGACTTCCAGGCATCTTTTTATAACAGACGTTATTTTTTAAAGTAGATGGCCGAGGAGATCTTTGGGAAACTAGCTCGTAGGACAATTTGAGCTATCTATTCATAAAGAATTTTCGATCATGTTCCGAGCCATTTTGAGTTTTTGGTACCTCGAACTTTTAATAACATATTCGGAAAGCTTAATGATTTTTACATATGCTGATTAGGTTTTGAAAGTTTCGGATATTTCTTTGGTAGGACCGTAGACCTAATCCCTAAATAAGGCGTAACATAATATCGAAAAGGAAAAAGAATTTTTTTCGTCCTAACGAGGGAACCTTTCCAGGTGTCCGATCGCTTTTCTAACGAAATGCGGTAGTTTATAATCGACCATGCTGATTCCTTGAATATGATAATGATGAATTGAATATAATAGCCGCTTTTGCTCAGAGGCCTTTCCTACCCGGTTTCTGGATAACTAGTTTTCCAGAAATCTCGAAAAATCCCCAAGAGCTTTTCTTAATAAGACACGACTGTAGCCTGCGAAACTCTGATTAAAATGAGACATCCCCCAGCTCTACACGACCCTTCTTTGCAAAGTTATAGGATTTACAAGAAAAGCCCAAAATGTTTATTGCCACCTCATAGCTACAGAAAGAAGAAGGAAAGATGAATTGGGAGCTTTTCTTGTGAATTCTATAACTTTGCAACGAAACGTCGTGTAGAGCTGGGAGATGTCTCATTTTAATCAGAGTTTCGCGGGCTACTGTTGTAACGTATTTGGAAAAACTCTTGAAGATTTTTCGAGATTTTTGGAAAACCAGCTATCCAGAAATCGGGTATGAAAGGCCTATGGGCAAAAACGTCTATCATATTCGGAATCAGCATGGTTGATTACCTATAAACTACCACATTTCGTTAGAAAAGCGGTCGGACACCTGGAAAGATTCCCTCGTAAGTGTATTTCTCTTTTTACAGAACAAAGTCGATGTTTGCAATTAGCATCAAATTCGGTATCGAATGATGTGTGTCTGAGAAAAACCTGAAAAAAGATTTTCTAAAAAAATGAAAGTCCATGTTTTGAAAAAGTAAATAAGGCATTTTGTTTAGAATTTCATGCTGATTCTAACCATAAAATTTTTTCTTGAAAATTTCGGAGGGCGGAAAACATGCATTTTCCTCCCACATCCTTTAAAAAATTTGATACTTCATTGCTGTATATTTTGTACAAAAGACATGACTTCTCTGTTCTTATTTCAGTTAGAAAAATCAAATATTTTTGTTTTGCCTGAAATATGATCCATTAATATTAATATCATTTAATTTGTACTGTAGATACATAAATATAACGGAGAGAACTATAGCTTCATCTGGTTGTGAAAAAGCAGAGTATATACAAAATATCTATGTTCTATTGTGGAGGGATGAATGTCCGTTTTTGACACTGAGAACAGAAGTTAGCTTACATGAACAAGAACGTACTTGAAATATGTATCAATTATCGTTGGTAATTTACACTAACGTTGGCCATAGACGAACTCAGATCCTTGACCGTAAAGCAGAACTAAATCTTCCTGACGACGACGACATAGGCGCAGAACGACATTCGACCTTTCTTCTTCAAATCACTGCACTTCAGAGGCGCACAAAAATTGTGTCATGAAACATTTTGTTGAATTTTCTCGAAAAATGAGACAGCAGTCTTTTCAATGACTAATGCTAAACTATGAGAAAAACTCTGCCTTACTCTTTCTCTCTCACTTGCTGCATTTTGATCCTGTTGTATGGCTAATTTGATTGCGAGTCATGACATCTTTGTTCTCTTAGCATGATTTAAACGATACGATTCAGAATTTATACAGCGGTAAGAGACCGGTATCTGTTATGCTTTTGTCTTGCATATAGCATAAAGAAGTTATAAATTGTCAACTATACGTTAATCGATCGATCGTCTCTTATACGCCTACACGAGATCACTGTATGGATCTTTTTCATTTCAGTCTATTATTAACGTAATTATAGACAATTTCATATTTAAATGATTTCAATCATGAATAGAATGAAAAAACTCATTTATTTTCGTTTTCGCTTTTTTGTACCGAATACCTCAAGTATAAAAAGATTTCGTGTTTCAAGACACAATAACATCGTTTAAAAGAAATTTTAAATGTTAACTTAATGTATTAAAAAGTAGAGTAAACCTCTAGGTTAATAATAAACAGTCATATCATAGATCAAAGCGAAGAAAAGAAAAAACGCAATTTCAAAATTATTGACTTACGTATATATATACATAAAGCCGATAGACATTAAATAATTCATCAATATCTTCACCACCTAGATATTCAACAAGACGAATAAATTTGTCATTGATATACGTTAAGACATCGCTTGGGAGTCTAGTAATGTTAACATACCGTTTTGAAGTAGCCGTTATTTAAAGAGATGCACACTGAGATAACTTTATTCTGAAACAGTATCGTAACGAAAATAATATCATTATTCGATTTCTTTCCCATTTATTTTCGCACATGTTGTCGCGTCGTGTATTGTCCTAGATTTAACTGTTCAATTTTTTAGTCTTAGTCGCATGATTACAAAGTCATATATTTGAAGAAATAAAGGTTTCCCTAGTGAATGTACCTGAGACAAGTGGGAAACAGTTGATTGAAATCAGTCCAAAATCAGTCGAAAACCACCCAAAATCAATTGATTTTCAGCGATTCTCCGTAATCCTCTATCATTCTCTGTGATTTCCAACAACTTCCAGTCATTTCCGTTGACTTTTTATTTGGTGAAAATCGAAAAAATCCCAAAATCAGCTATTTCCCTCTTGACTTGAGACCAAGTGCTTGGATACTTGCAGATTTCGAAAAGTACTTTGTGAAGTACTTGGAAAGTATTTTTATAAATCAGTACTTCATAAGTATTTGCTTCAGTACTTAATGAAAATTCTTAAGTATCTTAACATTTGATCAGTACCTACGTTACTTTTGATAGTACTTGGTACAGTACTTGTCAAGTGTTTTTCCCAAAGTGCTTATAAAGTGCTGTTGTAATCAATTTCTGTAATCGGGAAATGATGTTAGCACTGAACGAAAGAAAATATGAGTCGACTGAGAGTCGAAGTCAGGACCATGACATTCCGTATCAATGCTTTAACCAGCTATCGAGCCACAGTTTCATCGATATCCTCGTTCATAAGAACTCTTCTTACATAACAAATGCATCCAGAGAAAGTAAAGTTATCCTTCGCTCGCGCTAGAACAGTACATGTCGAAAAAGGGGACATCCCACAGGGTGCAATCGAGAAAACTTCTTATGTATTATCTGGCGTTTTACTTTTCTTAGTCAGTATACAGCTTTACTTGTCTTTCCTCTCTTTTTTCATACCACATAGATGTTTATTTGTCGTTTTGGGTAATTTTTCTTTGTGATATTATACGCCACAAAGTTTTTAAAAAATTAGATTCACTTGTTATAGTTAGTTGGAGATCAGACGAGAGCGAACAGCACTCAGTTTTCTTTAATTAAGAGTTTGTCTAATAAGACTACCTTTTTAAATGACTAAATATGGATGCATTCAAAAGAGTCAGGTCATGCGGGTTTGGGACATTTGCTCGAATAAAGTTTTCTCGAACAACATTACTTGCAGCGTTTTTCTACAACTTCTAAATCAAAACCCTTACCGAATAAATATCCTCATACCAATATAGAACAATAAATAATGAAATAATTGCTATAGCTCGTAATATCCATTTAGAAATTTGATGTTTCAAATGAAGCAGTTTTGACTGCAGTAATTGATAGATAACTGAGATAGGTTCAGTTGTCTTGTTGGTATTTATCTGTAGCTGAAGTAATTTTTTGTGTTCATCTTTATATGTTCTCTACACTGCAACTTGCAGTCTACAAGTAATGTTGATAATTTGTGTTTGAAAAATTCGAGGATGTT